CTGAAATTCAACTATTCCAATCCCAAGAACTGAATGGCCTAGTTTTGGCCTATGAAGATTTAGTAAGTTTTGTTCTAGATGTCTCCGAGACCTACCTACCTGCTGATATAGTTTCACAGTAATTGATATCCATGAAAGCACTTGAGATAACTGTCTTCTGGTTTAAATGGTTGGGGGCTGAGGGGAGGGCTAAATGAGGGTTCCTCAACTCTAGAAATCACTTCCGAACTTGGTGAGAAAGAACCAGAGTCTTCTGGACTTTAGGTCACACTGTTTAGAGCCTGACTTCAACAAATTCATTCATGCAGACTTTTATGCATGGGTTGAAAAGGATGTATGGGGGTCAAATTGATGACCCTGATTTATTAGGAGGCTGCATTTATTGTGTTTCCTTGTATGTGTTGCTTTTTTAAAAAAAAGTCCTTGTGTCTACAGGCTAGCACCGACCCATTTTATTAGCCTAATTAACATATTAATTAATAACCTGTGTTCGTGCTTACCTAGTATAGAAAGAATGATCCAGCGGTTAAGGAGATGTGGGCTTAAGTCTCTGCTCTTCCTCAGACTTCCTGTGTGACCTGTGGGGAGATCAGTTTCTGGGAGAAAAAGACACAGGAGTTGTCATAAAGGGAAGGGTAAACCCCTTTGAAATCCTTCCTGGCCAGGGGAAAGCTCCTCTCACCTGTAAAGGGTTAAGAAGCTAAAGGTAACCTCGCTGGCACCTGACCAAAATGACCAATGAGGAGACAAGATACTTTCAAAAGCTGGGAGGAGGGAGAGAAACAAAGGGTCTGTGTGTCTGTCTATATGCTGTTTCTGCTGGGGATAGACCAGGAATGGAGTCTTAGAACTTTTAGTAAGTAATCTAGCTAGGTATGTGTTAGATTATGATTTCTTTAAATGGCTGAGAAAAGAATTGTGCTGAATAGAATAACTATTTCTGTCTGTGTATCTTTTTTGTAACTTAAGGTTTTGCCTAGAGGGGTTCTCTGTTTTGAATCCAATTACCCTGTAAGGTATCTACCATCCTGATTTTACAGAGGTGATTTCTTTACTTCTATTTACTTCTATTTCTATTAAAAGTCTTCTTGTAAGAAAACTGAATGCTTTTTCATTGTTCTCAGATCCAAGGGTTTGGGTCTGTGGTCACCTATGCAAATTGGTGAGGCTTTTTATCCAACATTTCCCAGGAAAGGGGGCGGGGTGCAAGTGTTGAGAGGATTGTTCATTGTTCTTAAGATCCAAGGGTCTGGGTCTGTAGTCACCTAGGCAAATTGGTGAGGCTTTTTACCAAACCTTGTCCAGGAAGTGGGGTGCAAGGTTTTGGGAAGTATTTTGGGGGGAAAGACGTTTCCAAACAGCTCTTTCCCAGTAACCAGTATTTATTTGGTGGTGGTAGTGGCCAGTCCAAGGACAACGGGTGGAATATTTTGTACCTTGGGGAAGTTTTGACCTAAGCTGGTAAAGATAAGCTTAGGAGGTTTTTAATGCAGGTCCCCACATCTGTACCCTAGCGTTCAGAGTGGGGAAGGAACCTTGACAGGAGTGAAGTAGCTGTCAGGAACCCATGAATTGGGAAAAGACTATGCCGATTGAAACTGATGCCTGGGATTGCAATGATGAAGGCCTCAATAGGGTCTGGGTGGGTTAGGATGGGGGCAGATATGAAGGATCCTTTCAGGTGATTGAATGTAGCCTGTGCATCAGTGGACCAGACAAATTTGGCTCCCTTCTTTAGAAAGGATGTAAAGGGAACTATCAGGTTGGAAAACCCCTTAATGTAAAAACCTGTAAAAGTTTTCAAGACCTAGGAATCACTGAACCCCATGCACATTTGAGGGTGCCTTCCAATCTGTTATTGTCTCTACTTTGCAGGGGTCCATGAGAAGCCCTGCTGGGGAGAGGGCATAACCTAAGAACTCCACTATGTCCTTGTCAAATTCACACTTCTCAGGCTTGGCATAGAGTTGATTCTGGTGAAGCCAATCGAGAATGATACGTACGTGGTGGCCATGGAGCTCTTGATTTTCAGAGAAGATGAGAGAATGTCATCTAGATATATGACCATGAACCGATCAAGGATATCCCTGAAGAAGTCATTCATAAAAAGTTAGAAAGTAGTAGGTGCATTACAGAGGCCAAATGGCATGACCAAATATTCAAAATGGCTGTACCTAGATCAGAATGTCATTTTCCACTCATCCTCCTGCCAGATTCTGACCAAGTTATGAGTTCCATGCAGGTCTATTTTTGTGAAGACTTGGGCTGATCAGTGTCTCACCAGGAACTCATTGATAAGGAGATGGGGATATTGATTCTGTACTGTGATTTGATTTAATGGCTGGTAATTGACACAGGGTTGGGGAGAACCATCCTTCTAGTCTACAAAGAATATAGGGGCACCAGCTGGGGAGGTGGAGGGATAAATAAATCCCTTCCGTAGATTTTCCTCTAGATACTCCCAGAGGGCCTGAAGGTCTGACTCAAAGAGAGCATAAATGCATCCAAATGCAACCTCCGTCTCTGGGTGGAGTTCAGTAGGGCAGTCATAACTGCACTGGGGTGATAGGGTGTCTACCTTCTGTTTGTTGAACACCGAGATTAACTCCAGGCATTTGACAGGAATCTTAGATCTGTTGCTCCCCTGGGAATCTTGGGGGGTTGGAATGCACCATAGAGTGTGATTGACTGTGGATGGGGGCTCAGGAAGCATGCTTGTTGGCACCACAGGGAGTAGAAGACCATTGTCCTTGATTACCAGCAGACTAGGGGGTTGTGGATAATAAACCCGGGGCACCAAGGATGACTGGTAAATGCAAGGCACAGATCACCCTGAACTTCATGATTTTCCAGTGGCCACCACTGGTAATGACCTCCAGGGGCACCATCTGAAACATGGTGGGCCCTGAAGACAGGTGTGACCTGAGAACAAGCTTCTGGGAGTCTTTTGGGTGCCCAGGGCAGCTGGCAGAGAGGTAAATCACTGTGGGGTAGGAAGCAGGACTGGGGAAGACCCAACTGGTGGCTCCTACCGTGCACCGGGCTCAGCTGCTAGTCCCCATCTGGGCTGGGGAGGATGGGACTTCATCTTCCCCTGCACTGCATCCGGGGATGGGTCAGATTTCTCCCCAGGCTGCAGGAAGCTCTGCAAACTCCCCATCCATTACTCTTCAGCTGCAGAGGGAGAGATCACTGTATGGGGAGCTGCTCCCCCATCCGCTCAACACCCATAGATCTCCTCATACCCAGACTCTCCCGCAGAGCCACCCCCACCCATGCCCAAAACCCCCCTGCCAAGCCCCGCTCCCTCTGCACTTGGACCACTCCGATGAGCTACCCGCACCCAGATCCCCACTCCACCGAGCCCCAGCCAGTTGCATCTGGACCCCCACCGCACTGAGCCCTACTCCCCCAGCATCTGGACCCCCTGCTGAACTCTATCCCCCTACACCCAGACCCTTCCCCGCCGAGCCCCAACCACCTTCACCTGGACCTGCCTGCAGAGTCTCATTACCATTGCACCCAGAACCTCCCAACAAGCCCCTGTGCATCTAGATCGCCTCCCACACCCAGACTGCCTCACACAGAACCCTCTCAACCCACACGTGGATCCCCCCACACTAAGCCTCTCCACACTTGGATCCTGCCAGGCTGAGCCTGCCTGCCCATACCTGGTGCACCTGGCACGGAGGGCCAAGGCCCTGGGGTGTTTCTGCGCAAGCTTGGTCCTTGTGCTGTGTATGGGTTGGGTGCAGCCTCACTGCTGAGCCATATCCTGGGGGCCGGGGAAGCTGCAGAATGATCTTCTACCCCTGTGCAGCCAGTAGCCTGTGGTCCACAATGCCGTGCTGGAGCCTCCATATTTATTTGACAAATAAAATTTGCAGAATTTTAAAATATTGGGCACAGAATTTTTAATTTTTTGGCACAGAAAGCCCTCAGGAGTAATCAGAGCACCAAAAAGCTGTCAAATGGGAATGTCTTTGTCAGGGTCAATCCAGACTGGACCTGATCTGGTGACCCAGATGTAAAAAGCTCCATAATTAATTCCCCAGCCCTACTAAGCCACCCAGTCTCTCCTCTTTGAGTGTTTGTGTTCATTTAGGAAGTTAGTTCGGACAATGTCAATATGGATCTTGTGCTGCCATTTATCCAGTGTCTACAGTTCCTGCTGGAAATCAGTGGAAAGTGAAACTAAGAGAGAAACAGCTGCAATGACAGGAGAAGACAGAGTTTTGTGGCTGGTTTTTGGTTGCATTGCCACCACTGCTGTGGCTACACTTCTATTTTTAGATCACTAGCGCAATCCACTAGCTCCGTCAATCAGAGCTAGTGCAGGGATATCTATTGAAACTGGAAATTCCACCTCGCGCTCCAGCATAGACATACCCTACAGCTTGATTCCTGTTTAAAGGGTAGGCTTGATATAATGCTGTGCTACTGCCCTACTTGGACATCCCTGGAAATGTCGTCTCTCCAGCCAAATTTCCCAGGTTATGCTATCACCAAGCTCTTTGTCCTGCTTCTTGCCCTCAGACATCATATGCGGAGCAGGTCCATCTCAAAGAGAATAAGAAGGTTATAATGTGTCAGTAAGGACCAGTTAAAAGAACCTAATAATAATCAATAGCAATAATAATTAATTCTTTGCACTTCACTAGTGCCTTCCATTTTAGAATCAGAAAGCATTTTACAAACATTAGTTAATTAAACCTAATCTCCCCCATGATATAAGTGTCACAATCCCCATTATATAGATGAAAAAATTGGGATATAGAGAAGGGAATCCTATAGGGCCTAGAAATGTCAGAGTGGCTCCTACGCCACTCCTCCTCATGGACCCAAGTGCAGAGGGAGTGTGATAAATGTAGCTCCCTTTTATGGACACCCAGCCAGCCAGTAGCTATAAAATCCCTCTTAGTAGCTGTTCTCTAATTGCTCTACCTGTAAAGGGTTAAAAAGTCTCACTGCTATGCATATGTAAAAGGAAGTGACTGGGCACCTGGCCAAAAGAGCCAATGGGAAGACTAGAACTTTTAAAACTTGAAACAAGACTCTCCTTTTTTATGTCTGTGGTTGTTCTCCCGGAGAGAGGGGACGGGACAAAGCTATGCTGTAAGAGCTTGGACCAGGTATGAAAAAATCATCAATATCATACCTAGAAACTACTTATTTAAAACCCCCTGATATGTAAGGAGATCAGGAAATGTCTAGGAAGACGTGATTAGGTTATCTCTTTTATTTCTTTATGGCTTGTGGATTCCTCCGTGCTAACCCCAGGTGCTTTTGTTTTGCTTGTAACCTTTAAGCTGGATCTTAAGAAAGCTATTTTTAGTGCTTAATCCTTGTAATTGCTCTTTAAAATCTAGCAATAGCCTGAATTCCCAGATGTATTTTCTTTCCTTTTTTTTATTAATAAAATTTACCTTCTTTAAGAACAGAATTGGATTTTTTTGTGTCTAAGAGGTTTGTGCACATGTTGTTTAATTAGCTGGTGGCAACAGCTGATTTCCTTTTTTTTCTTTCTTTGCTCTTCCCCGGAGAGGGGGTGAAAGGGCTTGAGGGTACCCCACAGGAAGGAATTGCCTGGTGCGCCTTTCTGGGCTCTCAAGGGGGTTTTGCGTTTGGCTGGTGGCAGCATTTACCAATTCAGGGTCAGAGAGAAGCTGTAACCTTGGGAGTTTAATACAAGCCTGGAGTGGCAAGTATTAATTTTTAGAATCCTTGCAGGCCCCCACCTCCTGCACTCAAAGCGCCAGAGTGGGGAATCAGCCTTGACAGGGAGTGACTAGGGACAAAGAGGTGTGGTCAAGGCATCCCTGTGGCATAGTGATCCCTGGCTTATAGCACAGCCCATTATGGGCTGTGATCAGCTGGACACACATTAGACCTGAGGCTGCTCTAACTTATGTTGGGGACCAGACTGGCCCCCAGATCAGTGGAACATAAAGGCAGGTTAAAGCCACTTTGGTCTACACAACTACCTGGTTGTACTATCCAAGCCATAAAATTTAAAGAAAAGAAGAAAGGAGGGAATAGCAGGGCTGTGTACAAATACTTGAGAGGAAACAGTATAGGTAAGAATTTACATGAAAAATATCCAAAATGCTAACTAATTTCAATTTACCCACTGCTGGAATGCTGCCATTCCTGGGGTGGGATATGGCAGCTGTTTAACAGCACATAGCAACAATTCACTGTTGTTTAGAATAGGAAGCTATCCAGTTGAAACTGCAGAGGAAATTTTGGAAGAGTTGCTGGGCACGTACACCCCATCACCCTTTGGGGCAGGTAGAAGGGAGTTATAGCCCTGTGGCTGAGTCCAGGCACCACCCTTAGTCTCAGGGTAATATGGCTTAATGGCTGGAGCCAATAAGCCGGTCCTCCTATGCAGGGACGCATGGCCTAGTGCCAAGAGTCCATATGACTGTCCTCCCTCACAGGGCCATATGGCCTAGTGGCCAGAGTCTATATGGCTGCCCTCCCTTGCAGGGCTGCATGGCCGAGGTGCCAGAGTCAATATGGCTGTCCTCTTTCATAGGACTGTGGGACCTAATGGCCAGCGGGGAAGTGGGCCACCACCCAGGAGTGGGTGGCAGCTGGGGTAGGGGTCCCAACCAAAGGCCTGATAGCGACGAATGTGTTTGCTACTCGGTCAGTAGAGATCCATCCAAAACATGCTGCCTTTGTCCTGGTTCTACAACCACACCAATGTCTGATTCCTCTTGTGGCGTTGCTGTCCACAAGCCTCCTGGGTCTCTGGGATCGTTAGCTTGCAAGCTCCCGACAACTCCATCCCTTCTTGGGCTTCCATGGGCAGCTGGATATCCGCCTGGGTGTCCGTGCACTTGGCCTCCATGATATGGGGTTCCAGCAGCTTTTGGAAGGGAGCCTGCAATGTGTGTCCTCTCTCTTCAGCAGTCAGCCTCAACTGAGCTGGGCTGCTCCCTTTTACGCTGAGGCTCCAGTTCGAGCATACCTAGGAGTGGCAAGGGGATATGGCTTCCTCTAACCACAATATGGGGTTAACCCCTTTGTCTGCAGGGCAAGTACACCCCGTTACAGGAAGGTAAACTGTAAATACCCAAATTGGAACTTATTCAAGACACCCAAGCTTAACTCCCCATTTTTTAAATGAACAATTTCAAGGAACCTTTAAAAACCATGAGTATTCAGGTATTCCATAGCTTTTTACAACATTAGCAACAGTACTAATAATATTAATAATAAATAAATACTTATACTGTGTGCAAAGAGAGTCTAATTACCTTTGTTTGCAAGAGAAATAGTTGAAATACTTGTATAATGTAATTTATATATTATCTTTTGTCGTGGGGATCTTAAAGCATATCACAGACAGCAGCACTGAAATGCACATGAACCAGACATGTCACATGCTCTTTTGTTAATAATGTAATTTTAGAGATCATCTGTACAACTCATAACTAGAAAAATGTGATGTAACATATTTGGTCTCATTAATTGAGGTACTGTTCTGTGTATTCCTCACCTAGAAACCACAGCAACTGGTACATTATAAATGCCCAGGCATATTGAATAATTAAATTAAGCAATACTTACCACTAACAGCATATTGCACCTTTCATGTGAGGATATCAAAGTGCTTCTCAAAGGTCAGCAGTAATAATTAATGATAATACATCAATAATGCTTTGCAGTTATTTAGCAACTTACGTTTTTAAAGAGATGTATAACTATCCACTCATTGAATCCCACAATCTTTCTGGGAGGGTAGTCAGTATCATCATCCTCATTATAAAGATGGGGAAAACAGAAGTGATTTACACAGCTCCACACAATTAGTCAGTGGAAGGCAGGAATAAAACCTAAGCTTCTTGAGTCTCCGTCCCAGAGCTAACCACTAGAAAACACTGTCTTCTCCACTGTGCTGCTGGAGGCATCATAGTCTCCTAATTCACACTTCTGTTGCAGGTACCTGGCCACTTACTTCGGTTGCCAGGCGTCCGGTTTTCAACCAGAATGCCCGGTCAAAAAGGGACCCTGGCAGCGCTGAGCGGGCCACTAAAAGTCTGGTAAGTGGCATGGTGGGGCTAAGGCAGGCTCCCTGCCTGCCTTGGCTGTGTGCAGCTCCCGGAAGCAGCCAGCATGTCCCTGAAGCCGCTAGGATCAGGGCAATCAGGGAGGCTCTGCAGCTCCATTGGCCAGGAACCGTGTCCAATGGGAGCTGCTGCCTGCAAGCACGGGCATCGCACAGAGCCCCCTGAGCTCTCCACTTAGGAACCGGACATGCCATCCGCTTCCAGGAGCCACCTGAGGTAAGTGCTACCCAGCCAGAGCCCTCACCCCAAGCCCCCTCCTGCACCCCAACCCCCTGCCCCAGCTTGGAACCCCCACCCAAACCCAAACTCCCTCCTGGAGCCCTCATCCCACGTCCCCTCCTGGACCTCAACCCCCTGCCCCAGTCCTGAGCCCCCTCCTGCACCCCAAACTCCACATCCCTGGCCCCACCCTAGAGCCCACACCCCCAGCCTGAGCCTGCACCCTCTCCCACACCCCTACCCCCATCCCAGTTCTGAGCCCCCTCCTGCACCCAGACTTCCTCCTGGAGCCTTCACCCTGCATCCCAACCCTCTGCCCCAGCCCTGAGCCCCCTCCCAGAGCCCATACCCTTTGCCCCCTTCCGCACTCCAAACCCATTGGCCCCAGCCTGGAGCCCCCTCCCGCTCCCTGAATCCCTCATTTCTGGCCCCACCCCGGAGCATGAACCGCCTCCCGCACCCCAACCCTCTGCCCCCGCCTGGTGAAAGTGAGTGAGGATGGGGGAGAGTGAGCGACGGAGGGAGGGGTGATGGAGTGAGCAGGGGGTGGGGCCTTGGGGAAGGGGAGGGAAAGGGGCAGGGCCTCGGGTCAGGGGCAGGACAGGGGCAGGGCAAGGGTGTTTGGGTTTGTGTGATTAGAAAGTTGGCAACCCTACTGCCTACTGGTATGGGGCAGTCTCCAGGTTGCTTCTTTAAGGAGGAAAATGGTGGAATCCTCACTTCTGGTTAAGTCTGCCAGGATAGGAAGGCTGATCTTGTTTGTGCTTTGGAATTAGAAGAGGATGGCAGCCTTCCAGTCTTAGGTGCTGGGAGTGGGAATCTAAAATAATGTTTCTGCCAACCAGGTTTCTGCTCATGGGCCTATCTCTAGTTGAGCACTTTCCCAGCTACCTCAATTAGTACTTTCTCTTTCTTCAACCTAGAAGGCTCACTTTGAAGTGTGAGAGGTAATAGATTAATGGAGCATCTTCTAACATCATCCTATCTCCTCTACCCCTTAGACTGGTCCCTTGCTTTACTCTTAATGCTATATCACGCTTTGCCCTAGTTCTCTCTAGATATACCCATTGCAGCACCAGCATCTAGTATTGCCCATTCCCTAGCCCTAACCAGTGCACCATTTCACCCCACCTTTTTCCTGTTCCGACCCTCTGTGTCAACTAGCCCTGTTGCAGGCCCTGCCTGAGCTTGCCTATTAGCCCACAGATCCCTGCACAGATTGGGCTTCAGACTTCCACTCATTTACACTGGTGTATATGTATTGGTTCCAGTGGATTTACACCAGTGTGAGCACAGAATTGAACCCATAGAGTCTAGGTACTAGATATTGCTTAGAATACAGTGAAAATGACATCCCCACAGGTGCTAAGAAGTTCCACCAGGCATGGATGAGCTTCCTGGGGCTGTGCTGTAGGGGCTGTCTTTCCCTGTGGCTCTACAATGCTTAGTATGCTGGTGCAGTAAGCAACAAATTTATAATGAAACTTTTCTTTCTCTTTCTCACCTTCCTATGGGGAGAGGGAGGCCTCATCAGCTTCCTGAGGATCTTACCCATTTCTCCCTTCTCACTGAGTAGCCACCATCCCAAGATCTATTTTATTTGTTTTTTATTTTAATAAGTAAAAAAAAACACCCTGAAACTAAAATTTGGAATGGCTCAAACCGCCTAGCTTATGCACAAGGCAAGTCTATGTAGCAATGTGTCCTTATCATGTTGCCCTCATCCTCCCTCCCTTGTTTCTGCATCCATTTCTTATGTCTTGTCTTCGAGTGTAAGTTCCTCAGGCCAATGAATGTCTCTTACTATGTATGTGTTTGTACAGTGACTAAGACGTAGGGCCCTTATCTGATTAGGGTCTCTGATTGCTACTGTAGTACATATAAGAATAAGAATTGTACTTGGAACTGAGGTGCAGCCTATCTCTTCATCACTACCGGTCCACACAGAAGACTTAATACTCCTGGACTAACAAAACTTACCCCTAATGGAATCTCCATCATAATTTTCTGCAGAACCTGGATGTTGGTTGGGGCGTTCTCTTACAAGTACTGACAAGGCCTAACCCTGTTAGGTTGAGAGAGCTGACCAGTTTATAGCCTGCAATAATACAACTGCAGGTAGGAAAGAGTACATGTAATAAATCCTTAGCTCCCCAGGCTGATAAGTTCTGTCTGAATTGCCCAGGAGATGTGCCCGGCCCTGGAGATGGAGCAGAGGAAGGAGTAAATACTATTGGCCACTCTCTACTGCCTACCCTGATAGATGCTCAGAGTGGAACTGAGGATGAGCTCTAGCAGGAGCTTTGTCCAGTCTTCTCCTAGTGGAAGGTGAATCACCTAAACTTTCACAGAGCCTCTGTGAATGATGAGAATCTGAAGGGGACCTCAGAAGAAAAGGTGGGGATGCCCAGGACACTTTTCCAGCATTCCTTGTTTATCCTGATGGCTTCCTTTCCACTCCATTATTTACTAGAGGTTTGGAAGAATGAAAGAAACTGCTCTGGTCTATTACTAGGGCCCTGATTCTGTTATCACTTATACTGATGTAAAATTAGGTTAATTTTTGCCCTAAATGCTACATCACTTGAAGAAAAGGAATGATCTAATGCTTTGAACAGAGGCCTGGGAGCCACAGACTCCTGGGAGCTAAAAGTAGCACTAACACTGATTCACTGTATAACCTTGGGTAAGTCATTTTACCTCCTCTCATAGTGTCTCTGTCTTAGTGTACACATCAGTAAAATGGAGATAATTAGTACAGTTTTCAAAATTGTGAAAGTCAGAGATCCCCAAAATGTGGGGCGCCCCGCTCAGGGGAGCATGGAGGAACGTCCAGGAGGCTCAGCGGGGTTCAGGCCAGCCCCCACAGGGGCAGGGAGGGAGCACCATCTGGCCCCCCACACCCACCCCCAGTCATGTTCCTGGCTCCTGGCCCCACATCTGGCCTCGGCCCTGTTCCCAGCCTTGCGCCAGCCTCCAGTAGGGTTGCCAACTTTCTAATAGCACAAAACCCCGCCCCTGCTGTGACGGTGCCCCCCATAAGGCTTTATGGAGATATGCTTTTGAATGTATATATGACAAACATATTCTAGTTATATGCTACATATGCCATGTAACATATCTATGTAAAGGTTATGATCTATTGAATCTATTAATCCTATTTGTAGGCATATGTCATTTTTGTATTAAAAGTTATGAATATTGGCAGTGTACTGGCTTGATTTTGAAGTGACCTTTGTAAAACATTTGGTCAGCTTCTTGAGAAAGGAATGTGCAAATCAAGAAGCACTTAAAGTACAGTGGATCTTGGAAGGCTCCAATCCACATAAGAAGTCTACTTGAGGATGTTCAAGGCAGCATGTGACCCATGGCTGCTACCTGGTAAGAAACTGTGAGTCATGCATGGACATGTGACTTGCACAGGTGACTCCAGAACATCATCCTGGAGCTGGACTTTGCATAGGAGAGAGAAGGGGGCTCTCCATCCACAAGAGAAAGTCTATTTAAGCCCATGGGAGACCCCCTCCATTTTGTCTTCAGCTGGCTAAAGAGAGAGCCTCTCTACCCCCAAGAAAGAAACTGGAACAAAGGGCAATAACTACACGGGTTGTGAGTGATTGCTGGACCCGGACTAGAAGGAGATCAGTCTGTAAAAGGAAGCTTTCTGGAACTGGTGAGGTTTTGTCTGTATTCAGTTTTATTAGACATAGACTTGTGGGTTTTATTTTATTTTGCTTGGTAATTCACTTTGTTCTGTCTATTACTACTTGGAATTTCTACTTTTCTACTTGGAATTTTTACTACTTTCTGTATTCAATAAAATCACTTTTTACTTTTAATTAACCCAGAGTATGTATAAATACTTGTGTGTGGGGGGCAAACAGCTGTGCATATCTCTCTATCAGTGTTATAGAGGGCGAACAATTTATGAGTTTACCCTGTATATGCTTTGTACAGGGTAAAACGGATTTATTCAGGGTTTGGACCCCATTGGGAGTTGGGCATCTGAGTGTCAAGGACAGGAACACTTCTTAAGCTGCTTTCAGTTAAGCCTACAGCTGTTAGGGGACGTGGTTCAGACCTGGGTCTGGGTTTGCAGCAGGCTAGCGGGTCTGGCTCAAACCAGGCAGGGCACTGAAGTCCTAAGCTGACTGGGCAGGAAAGCAGGGGTAGAAGTAGTCTTGGCACATCAGGTGGCAGTCCCAAAGGGGGTTTCTGTGATCCAACCCGTCACAGTGGCGTAGTCGGCAGGATCTGTGTACAGCTGATTGCTCTGAGGTACTGGTAGTGATTTTAAGTGTGTTTTAAGTGTGGTGGCTGGAAAACAGACAAAGTGGTTGCTGGTTTGTTATTTTCTGTTTGCTCGTTTCAGGCAGGAAAGCAGGGGCAGAAGTAGTTTTGGCACATCAGGTGGCAGCTCCCAAGGGCGTTTCTATGATCCAACCCATCACAGTGGCGTAGTTGGCTGCCTCATCCCTTCTCTGAGACCCCACTCCCCACTCCCTCCATCCCCCATCCCTCTGTTCCTCTTTCTCCCCCACCCTCACTCACTTTCACTGGGCTAGGGCAGGGGGTTGGGGTGTGGGAAGGGGTGAGGGCTGAAGCTGGGGGTACGGGCTCTGGGGTGGGGTCAGAAATGAGGGGTTCAGGGTGCAGGAGTAGGCTCAGGGCTGGGGCAAGAGATTGAGGTGCACAAGCAGGTGCGGGCTCTGTCTGGGAGTGTGGGCTCTGGGGTGGGGCTGAGGATGAGGTGTTTGGGGTACAGGAGGGGACTCCTGGCTGGGGCCGAGGGGTTTGGAGTGCGGGAGGGGGTTCAGGGCTAGGGCAGGGGGTTGGAGTGTGGGAGGGAGTGCAGGGTGCAGGCTCCAGGAGGGAGTTAGAGTGTGGAAAGGGGTTCTGACCTGGAGCAGAGGGTTGGGGTGCATTTGGGGTTGCGGGGTCTGGGAGGGAGTTAGAGTGCAGGAGGGGATTCCCACCTGGGGCAGGGGCTGGGTGCAGGTGGGGTTTTGGGCTCTGGCTGGGTAGTGCTTACCCCAGGCAACTCCCAGTCAGTAGCACTGCAAGACTAAGGCAATCTCCCTGCCTGCCCTGGCTTCGCACTGCTCCCAGAAGTGGCCGGCATGTCCGACCCTAGACGGAGACACAGCCAGGCGGCTTTGTGTGGTGCAGGCTGCCTGTGCCCCCAGGAACTGCCCACACAGTTCCCATTGGCCGCGGTTCCCATGCCATGGGGAGCTGGCGCTGAAGGGGGGGGCAGTACACGGAGCTTCCCTGATGGCCCTGCGCCTAGAGGCCAGACATGCCGGGGAGCTACGCAGAGTCAAGGCAGGCAGGGAGCCTGCCTTAGCCCCACTGCGCCACCGACCAGACTATTAACAACCCGGTCAGCGGTACTGACTGGAGCAGCCAGGGTCCCTTTTCGACTGGGCATTCTGGTCGAAAACTAGATGCCTGGCAACCCTAGACCCCAGCCTCGGCCACTGCTATGTTCTCGGTCTGAGGCCAAGGCTGGGGGCAAGACCAGGAGAGGAGCCGCATCTGCCTGCGAGCCCATCTACTGACCCCTACCGCAGCCCAGCTGTGGCTCTGCTCCCTCCCCCACGCCCAGCCTCAGTCCCTGGCTGCAGCTAAGCCCCCAGACCTACCCCCAGCTGCGGCCCCCTTACCCTGTCCTTTTCCCTCCACTCTCCCTGGAGCCGCAGCCCTGCTCCCGGCCCTGGTTCCGAGGGGTGGGGTGGGGGGTACAGACAGGTGTAAGGGGGTGCTGCGACACTAAATAGTTTGGGGACTGCTGGTGTAAGTGATTTAGAAATCTGAATCAATGGGATTTAGACATGCATCCATCCTCCACGCAAAGTGACAGTATGTTCTATCCCAACATCGAATGGAACTTTCCCTTCAATTGCTCTTCCCAACTGCTGGGCATCAGAACAGGGGAAAAGTCTCTGCTCTTTCTCAATGCTCCCCCTTCTAGCACCCAGGCTGGTGCAGGAGAAGGAAGAAACAGCCTAACTTGAATACAGAGGGGCATGGAATGGGAAAAGGAGCCAGGGGAAGAGAATTGGGTTAGGAGCCAGATGGAAGGGGGGTTAGGAACAGCAGCCAGGAGGGGGAAATAGGGGCAGGAACAGAGAGGGGCAGAAGACCAGAGGGAGGGATAGGAAAAGGGAAGGGAGAGAGGCAGGAACAGATGGAGGAGCTCGAAAGGATGGACCGGAGCCAGGGGGATAGTAGTAGGGGAGGGTACAGGGGTAGGAGCTGAGGATGGGGTTGAGGATAGGAGCAGAAGGGGAATGGGGAGAGGCTGAGGGGGCCAACATAGGAGGATCTATAATTGCAAGGGTATTCATTGACCCACAAAACCTGGAACTGAACCCATTATTCCTAAGTCTCACCATTCCTTTGCTGGGAGCAAATAGCTGTGAAATCCACTGGCAATGGGTGTGTCTCCATCCCTTTTCAGTGGTAGGTCCACACAGAAATAACAGCCTTCTAGTACTACCAGTTACTCCACAAACTCAAGTGCTAGAGGATTGTGCTGTGAAGCTAAAGGTCCCAACCCTGCTGATGACCTATGGGGGAATTAATATGGTTCCACATGATGATATTTTTTGTTTTTCTTTTTTAAGTTTTTAAAAAACAGGAAATTACATCCAAAAAACTATGTTTAAGAATGTTAAGGTTGCAAAGTCAAGGACTTAAAAGTCAGAAAATGCCAGAAATAAGATTGCCCATGCAACTTTAATTTGAGCCCGTTGTACCTATGCATCATGATACAGTCTTTAATTACATGATAATATATAATTTTTCCACACTCTTGCCTCATTCAGTGCACAGAATGGACTGTACTTTGGGAGTGTACCAGGATTATGTAATGAATGAGGGTGTTGTTTGTAGTATCTCTGCCTCGTTTGTTGTAAAAGTTGGAAGGTGTAGAAATTGGAAGATGTGTAGTGTATGAAGCAGGGAGCTGCAGAAAGGATGGACAGTTGAATCCCACCCTGGAACTCGAGTCTGTTCCTGCCTCTCCCACGGAGTTCCAGTGTGAGGTGGCGGAAGTCACATAAACCAGAATTTTGAGAGATGTGAGTTCCTCTTCATTTTGGCCACCTGTGTGTTCCCCTTTATTCTGGGTACCCAACTTGAGACACTTGGGGTACAATTTGAAGAAGTGCTAAGCACTCACAGCTGCAGACTGAGGTCAGTGGAAGTTCTGCTCTGAATTTGTAAAGTACTGTGACAAATCAAGTCTTGAGATTCACAGATTGGGCACCCTAAATTTTACTTTTGTCAAATTTGGCTTTTATTTCTGTATCACAGTTGCGTATGTGTAAAATGGGGATAATACTACTACCTCACTTCACAGGAGTGTTGTGAAGGTAAATTCATTAATGTTTGTAAAGAACTAAGATATTATGATGGAAGTGCCATAGAAAAGCCCATGAGGAAATTAATAATTCTGTTTTCAATGAAGGGTTTGGATGGTGTACAGTAAATAATGCATGGCGCCACACAGTGAATAATGAGAATAAAAAGAAACATTGACTAGCTACTCATTCGTTGTGTACCATCTATCTTATGCCCTGAATGAGACAGTGGTCCTGTGAAAAAAATATGTGATCATGTAATTAAAGACTGTAGTGTAATACATACACATTTCTGGCATTTCCCAACTTTTGAGACTTGACTTTGCAACTTTAATGCTTTTTAACTTTTTTTATGTAATATTTATAAAGCATGTAGAAGAATAACTGTATTATTACTGCCAATTGGTATTTCCAGCCATATTAGAAACCTCCTCTCCCTTGTACACAGCACGACATAACACAAACACACTGACTAAGCTAGTACTGATGGGAGCCATGCGCTAGGGCCCTTAAAATGTACAGAATCTCTACCTCTCCTAGTGTTATTTTCTATAGTTATGTCTCATCAAACATTGGACATTATGTCATGCTGTTTTGTGGTCCACATAGTGTCATCCTCATAGATCATTCTTAATCAGCCCTGGACAGAGCCCTGACGGAAGAGCAGTGCTCACTTCCACCACAGTTAGAAACAGATGCTGAGAGTCATGTCTGTTTATTGGGTTTAAGTGGAATTTCCTATTTCAATATATTTGACTGGGATAAACTGTAGGGAATAATTGGACATTAGTGCTCAGATTAGGGACCTGATAGATGGGACCTTATAGATTGTTTCCTTCCCTAGGGGCATGTCTACATTACAAACTTTTGCCAACACAAGTTACACCAGCATAAAGTTAGTATATTGTTAGTATATTGCCACAGTTAGTATATTGCTTGTGTGCATGCATACTTGTCTCCTTACATCAGTTCTGCAAGTACTCACCAGGAATACGTTTCAATGCATAGTGCAGTGCACCCTGGGTAAGTATTCCAGTGTACAACTTGCCACCATCCAGCACACTGTCTTTTGGGAAGTTTTGGCAATGCATGCTGGGGCAGAAACGAGGTGACTAGGACTGCGAGGTCAAGTTTCCATCATGCTGCTTTCTCCACCCAATAATGCCATCTCTATCCCATAATTTTTGCATCTATTTTGAAAATTCCACAAACCTGCACGGGATGCCATCTCTGACAGAAGCATGGAGCCGCATAGCTCTACACTATTGTCATGAGTGTTGCAAGCACAGGATGCATGATCCTCTGGTATTTGCAGAGCTGTAAGAAGAGCCACAGGGAACATGATGATTTCCTGGACGGCAGATTTCTGTGGGACATAGTGAGAAC